CCATCCTGCTCATGGACCAGCAGGTGGCCGGCCTCCAGGTGCTCAAGGACGGCCGCTGGATCGCCGTCAACCCGCGGCCCAGCTCGCTCGTCGTCAACATCGGGGACCAGCTGCAGGTAGTGACGAGATCGACTGCTCGATCGATCGTCTGCCACCCACCTACAGCTAGTAGTACACGTTCTGGCACTGGCAGCAGCTCAACTACTGAACCCGTGTCCTCTCTCTCTCTCTCTCTCGATCCTGCAGGCGCTGAGCAACGGCAGGTACAAGAGCGTGTGGCACCGCGCCGTCGTCAACTCCGACAGGCCCAGGATGTCGGTGGCGTCGTTCCTCTGCCCCTGCAACGACGTGCGCATCGGCCCCGCCGCCAAGCTCGTCACCGGCGACACGCCGGCCGTCTACAGGGACTACACCTACGCCGAGTACTACGCCAAGTTCTGGAGCAGGAACCTGGACCAGGAGCACTGCCTCGAGCTCTTCAGGACCTAGCAGCACCTGCGTACACGGTAGTAGCAGAGGAGGAACAGCAACAGAGTAGACGCTTCTCTTTCATTTAGCTTTTCGGTTTTGCGCATCCCGTGCATGTACTAGTATGTATACGCAACACCTCTACTCTAGTAGTTTGTTCCTTAGAATTGAACTTGCCGAATCAATCAAAAACTGTGTGTACCCCTCATCAGCTTCCCCTCCAACTCGGCTTTGCTTGTTCTCCTAGAAGTACAAGAATTCACGGCGGGGTCTGTAAAATTGCTTCTAGGCTCCTGATAGTACAACCTGTAGTACCTTTTTTCTGTGGTTAATTTCTAGGGATCGTTTTGGGCCGAGTTGGAGGGGAATGGGCCAACTGTCACTGTCTTCCTTTCACTAGAGTAGCAGTAGCAGCAATGGCGAATGGGTTCAGAGAAGAAGAACAGATAGCGAGAATGGATTCAGTTATCAAAATCCAGTTTTCTGTTCAGCACATGCACGGTCTTTATACCCCTTCGGCCACCAGCCATACGTCACAATTACATCATTATTACGTCACTAAGCCGTTACATCCGCTAAGCGCCAGCTAAACCCAAACAGACAAGGAAATTTTTGGAAGAAACTAGACTAGTTCAGCACAGAGTCAAGCAAAGCCTCCAAACGAACTTTGAATCATGGATCCTCAGCCTAAATTCCGATGTTTAAGCAGCTTTCTTTTTCATTTTCTTTGTTCCCTAGAGCTTTTTGCTTTGTTGCTTTGCTTTGTTGAGAAATTTTACAATGGTTGGAAAAAAACATGAACCATGGTAAAAAAATAGTAGGTACCAAATAGGTGAGGATAGTATCCAATTAGGTGGGGCCAGTACTAAAATGGGTGGGATAACATCTATTTTTTATTTTTTATTTTATTTTCCAATAAGGATAAATAAGTCATTTTAGTATTGTTATTCAAGGACACCCACAAGTCCTGCAGCCGCCGTCGCCGAGTTCGGAACCGGCCTGCGCCGTGAGACCAACGTGCTCTGGAGGCCACCGCCCGGGCCGCGTACACGGAGCCGTAGCTGCAGCACCCTGGCGGGCTCATAGGTTTCGACGCGCCGCGGACAGAGCTCGCGCTCGTGCCGGCAGTCGCGCAGCTGGACGGTGCCTGGACGGCCGCTGGACACCTCGGCGTGCTACTTCCCAAACATGGCCGAAATATGGGCGCCGCTGCCGTCGCCTCGCCCCGACGGCAAGCCGCCAGGTCTCTGCAACACCCTGACATAGGAGACGCCTTCGAGCCGGGACGGAGACCGTAGAGTTCACGGGATTGTTGCGCGGAGACAACGATTTGGTACGCTTGCGTGCTCCAGCCTCCATCCATTCGTCATTCATGGACGACGACGACTGCAAGCTAGAATAGTTGTTCTTGCTCTTCTCCCCTTGTACTCTTGTCTGTTCTTGTTTTCCTTTTCCCTTGGCGTGGACATATAAGACGATGTAGCTGGTATTTTGCTGTGTATTAATACATGTAAATTACTACAGAGGCACGATTGGTACGCTTGCTCCAGTCTACTCTGAAAACCACCATCAGACACCTAATGGATGATACGCTTGTCCGTATATGTACCGCGTCGATGCCACGGACAAGTAGAAGTCCGTGCAAACGATGCCTCTCTGTCAGCGTCGCAGCTCTTGCGCGTGTCCTGTCCCGGCCGGTCTCGCTTGGCAGTCCGAAGCGCGCGTTGAGTCAGTGGGCATTCGGTTTAAACCGACGAATCGGTTCGGTTTGTTCGGTTGCTGTAAACTTCGGTTTCCACAGATCAACAACCGATCGGTTTGCCATAGAATCAAAACCGACGAGTTCGTGTCGGTTTTTTCGGTTCGGTTTTTCGGTTCCATCGAACCAACCGAAGCGAAGCGGGGCAGGAACAAATCAAAGAGAACGGAGAACGGAGAAGAACAAATCGTAAGGAAAGGTCGGAATGTACTTTTTCGAAAACCATCGAGCTAAAAGATCTCTTCTTTGTTTTGTAATTTTGGCACCTTTTTATTTTTGATTCAAATCTCTGTAGCAAGACGAGGCAGCCGCCGCTGGAGCCGAGCCCTCCAGTTTGCCACCTAAAAAAATCCCAAACAGACAGCTAACAACTAATCGTCGCCCTTCAGCCACCGCCGTCAACCATAAGCCCCGCCGCCACCGCGGTTACGGCGGGAGCACAGGATTGGGATGGGATACATGATAGGTAGGATTAGGGTTTGGTGTCCGTGGGTTGACTGGGTGGAGTATTTATTTGGGGGCGCTAGTTGGGCGAAGGATAGAAGAGGCGTCCGATTGTTTCTCTCTCGATTCGGGCATCTCGATGCAAACCTCGGTTGTTCGGTTCGGTTGACACGAGAACCGAAGCCAACACCGATCACCGGTTTCAAACCGAACCTTTTCGATTGATTTCTGGTTTTTTCGTGGAAATGTGCCCAGGCTGAGCGGTGACCTCGTTGCGAAGCGAACAGGGCCCTTTTTTGTTGGGCTTCTAGGCTCCTAGCACTACAGCCCATGTACTACATTTCTTTTATTAATTTCTAAGGAAGGATTTTGTTCTGGACTTCTGGCCTTCCAGGAAGACGACCAACTGTCCGGTCTTCCTTTCAGTAGAGTAGCAGCGATAGGGAATGGGTTCAGAGAAGAAAAACAGATAGCGAGATGGACTTTGAGAGAATGGATTCAACTATCATAATTCAGTTTCCTGTTCATCACATAAACGGTCTTTATACCCCTTCGGTCACCAGCCATACGTAACAATTACATCACTAACGTCACTAAGCCGTTACATCCGCTAAGCGCCAGCTAATCCCAAATGGCCAGCTAACGGCCAACCGTCGCCCTTCAGCCACTTGGTCAAGCATAGCCCTTTGCTTATACAAGAATTCAACGGCGTGTTTGGATAGGACCCTGGCAGTGGCGGATCCAAAGGGGGGGCTGCCCCCCCCCTAATGTCTTGATTTCAAGCCTAATCACTGTAGCAAAAGCTTGATTTCACCATTAAATCTTCATGCAAATCAACATCTCCATTGTTTTAGCCCCCTTACCCAACCGCATCCAAAATCGACCCTAGTACGTCTAGGGACGATGACCCAACCATCAAAATCGGACGTCTAGTTTCGAGCTGTGCAAGTTTCGTCGTCAATCCAAACACGAAAGAAGGGAGTTTTTTCTCTTCTCTGTAAAATTGTACAAGTGTCAGATGCCCATGTGGGCTGGTTTGACCTTTTTTGTTGGGCTTTTAGGCTCTTGGCAGTACAGCCCATGTACCACATTTTTTTTGTAGTTAATTTATAGGAATCGTTGTGGCCTTCCGGGAAGACAACCTGCCTGCTTGTCGCTGCAGCTTCTTTGGTTGTGGCTGTGGCTGGCTGATGTGGTCAACATTTTCACAGGCTATTCTCTTCGTCTGCACCCTTATATCTATTAATTTGTATGGGCTATGAGTGTTTTTTTACATAGGTAATGTAGTTTCAAGCTAGGTAATGCATGTTTATTTGTTTCAACTACATTTATATCCTCTCTTTTCTCATTTTTAAGACTTTTTATATTGTAAATTTATTATATTTCATCATTTTATTTGCTGTTTATAGTATATTTATAGCTTCCTTGCAAAAAAAATATTTTGTAGCTATTTTTACTTCAAATTCAGCGACAAGAATGACAACTTGTTCGCACAACATAATTTGATTATCTGCAAAGAATTTTTATATATGTTTACTAATGGAAACATAGGGGGAACTTTGATTATTTCTACAACTTAGCATGGATATTTTGAATATAATGCCAAAAAAAATTATTTATTGAAACATTGTTCCTGCAAAGCTATAAATTTTTTGCTTTGAAGCTAGAATGATTTCCTCATAATGACAAAACATTTGCTCGTGAAACTATAACATTTTCTCAAAAAGCCAAAATATTTTTATCAGAACTTACCTTTTCTGAACAAATTACTTATGTTTACAAAAAAAGTACTTTTGTTCAAGCCTGGGTATTTTTTATTTAAGCTAGAGCATGTTTCTTGGAAGGGCGATAGAGCATTATTTCATTGAGGTATATCATTTATTCAGAAACAATCAGGGTGCCTTTTGAAAATTTTGATTTGCATGAATAACCACTGATACAGATACTATGAGATATGTATAGACAGAATAAATATAAATAAAGTACTCACAAGAAATACAAGAAACCGAGAAAGAAAATAGAAAATAGAAAACAGAAAACGAGCTGATTTTTTTCTCCAAAAAATGGGTTTCTCCGGTCCCGCCTCCCGCATTGGGCCAGGCCGGGGTGGCTGCTGGACCAGGCGGAGCCGATCAGGGCCCCGCGCCGCTGTCCAGGCCCAACTCGCGTATGGCTCGTCTCCGGCTCGGCGGCACGCGTCGTGTGGACCAGAAAGGGAGCGAAATCCTACTCGGCGCACGGAGTCCGCAAGCTGCTTTTCGTCGCTTCGCTTTCGCTCCCCCATCCAACGCAACGCCCCACCCTCCTCGTCGACGCCACGACGCCTCCCATGGCCACGGCCGTGCTCGCCGCCTCCCTCCCGCGCCATCGTCCTCTCCAGCGGCCGCCGCACGCCGCCTTGGGGCCGGAGCCCCGTCGCTGCGCAAGCGGCATTGCGCCGTCGCGCCCGTCGCCGCCGCCTGCGGCCCCGCGCCGCCGCGGCAGCTCGACAACGGTTGGTACCCCCATCGCCGCCTCTCCTGAGAAGGATTGCGTCTCCCTCCCTGCCCCCGTACCTTTATGGCGTCTCGCTTTACCGACGTTGCTGTGTGACCTGCCTGACGCAGAGGAGGCGGCTAGCTCCGGACGGCGGCGGGTGCTTGTGGCCGGTGCCGCCGCGTTCCTCTCCCGGCCTAATCCGGCGGCATGTGAGTTGCTTCTTCGAATTTACTTCACTATCGCCTTAGACTGCTTTGCCCTCTGCAGCGTTGCGTGCTTTGATTGATGTACACTGACCGCTCAGTGGGAGACGAGCTTGCACTGTGAATGGTTTATTTGATCAAAACTGCGCCTCTGAGTGCGATTCTGATCTGGTATAGTCGCAGCAGAGGCTAAGAAAGGGTTCCTGCCTGTCGTCGACAAGAAGGCTGGTTACTCCTTCCTCTACCCGTTCGGATGGGAGGTGACAAACACTTCTTGTATTAATTATTGTCCTTGATTGATTAAGAGAAAGAAACACAATTTGGCTTAGTTTTTTTTTTTTGGCTGCACGATGTATTTTATCATGATGTGTGTGAGGCTAATCACATTATCCTACCCAGGAAGTGGCTGTGCAAGGGCAAGACAAGGTGTACAAAGATGTGATAGAGCCTCTGGAGAGTGTGAGCGTCAACTCTATTCCCACTAGCAAGGAGGATATTCGTGATCTTGGTCCTCCGGATAAGGTTTACTATTCTCTTTTCCATAATCCATAAATAAACTAGGATAGTCCATAGTTATCCAGCGTAAAGGGTCCAACTTCGATTTATTAACTCCTATTTTCCAGGTTGCCGAGGCTTTGATAAAAAAAGTTTTGGCACCACCTACACAAAAGACAAAGTTAATTGAGGCGAAAGAGGTGTGCCTTCCTTCCAATTTGCTGTGCTTCATCTAACTATTCCTGTTAATATTCATGGACACCAGTGCATGTCAAATCTTTGAGGATTAGGAAATGATAATTTATGACATATCATGGTTCTTTAAAAAAAAATCATTCAGCCATGCTAATTGGCTATGTGGACAGAATTATAAAAGACTGAATGAACTTGGTGCTGATTGACGAATCTTTCTGAGTTCATTTTATTATTAGGTCGAGCATTAAGCTGAACAGCTACTCTCTGAAAATAAGATATGTACTAGTGATGGTTTCCACCTGCAGCATTTATTGAAATTTGTTGCCTGGTTTCCATGTTTCAGCTGGTATGCTGAGCTAATAAAAGATTTGGTAGTCAGTTACCAACTTGAAAGTACAGGTGACAATATGGCAGATAAAACGTATCAGCACCACCGTAAACTAGCTAGTACTTCTCCCATTTGTATTAGAATCAATTTGTTATTTGTGGAACATCATGTTCTTCACATTGACCATGCTATTCTGTTCTTGAAAGATATATTTTGGTACTTTACTTATGACAAGATACCAAGGAATGTTATGTGGTGGGCGTTGACAAACATAAAGTCCCAACAAAGTATGTTACCTTCATCAAGGACATGTACAACAATGCCATGACTAGTGTACAAACAAATGATGGTGACACATATTACTTCCCGATTAAAATAGGACTTTATCAAGGGTCAGCCTTGAGCCCGTATCTCTTTGCTTTGGTAATGGATGAAGTGACTAGGGACATTCAAGGGGATATCCCTTGGTGTATGTTGTTTGCAGACGATGTAGTGCTAGTTGATGAAAGCTAGGCAGGAGTTAATAGGAAACTGGAGTTGTGGTGGCAGACCCTTGAGTCCAAAGGTTTTAGAGTAAGTCGAACTAAAACAGAATACATGAGATGTGACTTTCGCAACGCTACGCATGAGTAGGGAGATGTGAGTTTGGAAGATCAAGTGGTGCCTAGGAAAGATACCTTCCGTTATCTAGGATCGATGCTGCAGAACGATGGAGATGTTGATGCAGACGTTTGCCATAGGATTAAAGCAGGGTGGATGAAGTGGCGCCAAGCATCTGGCATTCTCTGTGACAAGAGGTACCACAAAAGCTAAAAGGCAAGTTTTATATAACGGCGATTAGACCCACTATGTTGTATGGCGCTGAATGTTGGCCTACAAAAAGACGACATGTCCAACAACTGAGTGTCGCGGAAATACGTATGTTGCATTAGATTTGTGGTCACACAAGGATGGATCAAGTTTGGAACAATGATATACGTGACCGTTTAGGGGTAGCACCAATTGAAGAAAAGCTTGTCCAACATCGATTGAGGTGGTTTGGCCATGTCCAAAGGAGACCTTCAGAAGCACCAGTGCGTTGTGGAGTTCTAAGTCGAGATATCAATGTGAGAAGAGGTAGAGGAAGACCGAAGCTGATATAGGAGGAGGCAATTAAAAGAGATTTAAAGGGTTGTGATATACCTAGAGATCTTTGTTTGGATAGGAGTGCTTGGAAAACAGCTATTGACGTGGCTGAACCGTGACTAGGGGCTCATGTTGGGTTTCAACTCTAGCCTACCCCAACTCGCTTGGGACTAAAAGGCTTTATTGTTGTTGTTGTTGTTATATGTTATTAAATTTACAATAAGTGTTTTGTCATGCAGAATGATGTTGATGGGAGAGCTTACTACACTTTTGAGTTCACAGCTCAGGCTCCAAACTACACCAGACATGCACTTGGTGCTATTGTAATTGCAAATGGTATGACCTTCCACCTGCGATCTTCTCTGTCAGTAAGATATTCTATTAGTAGTTAATATTTGTGATATATTTTTCTCTCGACCTTGTAGTAACTGGAAAACTGTATGAATGGCGTAGCTTTTCACTGCCATCTACTGTTTTCTAATTGAGTGGGATACTGCAGGTAAATTTTTCACATTGACTACTGGAGCAAACGAGAGAAGATGGGAAAAGATGAAGGATAGGCTGCATACAGTGGTGGATTCCTTCAAAATCGAAAATAGAATATGAGGAATGCCTTAGTTGCTGTGCTGTTTTTCCTTTGTTGATTTGCTTTCTTTCGGAGCTGCAATGGTGAGATTTCAGTAGTAAGTGTCGGGAATGTGGATTACACTGTTCTGTGTCATTCCGGAATGTTTGTTACAGAGATTTGAGCAACATTTGTTTGTACTTTATGTATAATATCTTTTCACCTTCGGTACTGTGATCCTTGAAGTTAGGAGGTCCAGACCTCTGCTGTGTAAATCTGTGGAAAATAAGCAATAGAAAGGCTTCACTCGTGGAAGATTATATGTGTGGCTAATCTATCATGTTCAATTCCCTGATTTAGGTTTGTAGAAGGAAATCAACGGTGTTGAATTTGACATGCAATTTACATGTAACTCGCGCGGATTATTCCGGTGCAGCCATATCATTCATCAGAATAGCGCAGTCTTCAGTTCGGGGTCCCTGTTTGGTGATAAAAAATGCTCAAGATTTTCCACTTTTGAGAAAGGTGAGTGAATATTCAAGTGTGAGAATCAAACTACCTGGCATCAAAATTGGACAGGAGATTTTTGACTGAAATGACACGAGAGAGAAGCAGAGGCAGGAGCCGTCTTGCTGATTCTCTGATTACCCGCTTCTCCTGTCCAATTTTTTTTCTTATCATCAACAGGGAAAAATATGGCAAGATTCCTTAAATAAGTTGGTTGTTTCACTATTTGCGTGTAAACGAGTCTGTGCATCATCAATTTTCTCAAGAGGATACAGGTGAGGTGACCTTGGTAAATCTTGTTATTCCTGAAGTACGTGTTCCAATACAAACGAGTCTGATGTCTTCGGCCACAAAGGACGTTTCCCTTGTGAGAAGGCGTATCCAAGAGGGGAGTGCCCTGTCCCCTCCTGCGGATTAGATAGGAGGCAGGGAGAAGAACACCTCACCGCTGCACTGCTCCTTCGCGGCGCTGCTTATCTCCCGCTCCCGGACCCGGAAATTTTGCCCTTAAGGGCGCATACTCCTACACATGCAACCGTTAATGCTGCTTTGAGATGTGTGCCACTTTTCACAGTACAGTTTGTATAAGCCTCGTATTTCTTCCTGGAGCATTTTTTTTACACGCCGTATATGAGTCTGACAGCACCTGACAACTTTCTCGCGACCCACCCGTCTTCCACTTTTTGCTTCGCTGCTTCTTTTCCCAACCCACGACGCCGCCTGCCGCCGCCGTTCCATCTCGCCGCGCAGCCCCGCTCCACCTCGCCGCGCCGCCGCTCCACCTCGACGGCCGCCGCTCCACCTCGCCGCGACGTCCCGCTCCACCTCGACACGCCGCCGCTCCACCGCGCCTACACCGGCGCGCTGCAGTGACCAAGACAGGCCCTGCGCTGCTACGGCGAAAGGAGAGGCAAGTACGACGGAGCAAACATGCAGCTAGGCTCTTGCTTTTGGCTATAACAGCCCAGGTTTTCTCTTGGTCACAATCCCCTACCTTTTAATTTCTAATTTTCTTGCAGCATTGGTATTTTCGAACTTTTTATGTGAAATGCTAGATCTGGTTCGTGGGAAAGCAAAATTTGTGCTTTTCTTTACAGTGGCCAAGACATCAATCTGGTTTTCAGTAGCTTTAGTACTCATATATGTTTCCAGATCTTGTCCCTCCAATAATATTTGGTATTCCTACTGTTCTAGGTTCTATGGAGCCATCTGGTGTTTTCAGTTTTATGGAAGGGTATATGTCTCCTCTCATCGTTTTATATTTTTCAGAAATGCAGATGTGTATATTTTTTATTTTTAGTACTGTTGTATCTACATTTCTAATTGAAGCAATGTCTAATAGCCTGTTGCCTTTTTGGCAGCCCCATGAGGTAGCCCAAGCTCACACCTGCATCTATATATTGCAATCGAACTAGCATTTCGAAGTGCCATTAACCTCCCAAACACAGCCATACTTTTATTTTTCAATTAAATGATGACGACCATACATTACAATTTGAGCATATCACAGTTTACCATGTGTACGTATATTAGGACATACAGGTTAGTTGACTTCAAACATACTTAGGCCACATGTGTCTTTTATTTTCTATTTCATTTCACTGTAGATATACTTTCAAACCATTAGAATGATCAGTTCATATATAGGACTGAGGTTTTGTCCAGAGTGTACTAGTCACAATAATTTTAAAGGTGAAAAGTTTTTAATATTATATCTAAACATATGGGGCTGACTCCAAATAATTTTATGTAGGCAGGTCATCATGTAATCAAAACGAGTATAATTATGCTAGGTGATTTGATTTTCCTATCTCAGCATCTGTTTGAAATTAACACAATGCATAGGTTCAAGTGTTTCATGCCCAAATTTAACACTTCTTAAGACTTTGGTACAACTTCTTCCTGCAGCTTTTGAAAAAATTACTTTTGGGTTCTTTTGATGACACAATATAAGCCTTTGGTAGTCCTGATTGTAAAAGTAATCAATCAGGTAAAGAAAGTTTTTTTACAATTACTAAATGATTCTTTTTTCTTCCTGCAGCTTATGAAAAAATTGCTTTTGAGTTCTTTGATGACACGATATAAGCCTTTGTTAGGGGGTGTTTGGTTCAGCTATGAGCTCCTAAATCTAGTCTTATTTAGTCCCATTTAGTCACTTTTTACCCAAACACTATGACTAAATGGGACTAAATGGGCTTTAGTCCTCTCTAGTAACTCTAGAGTGACTAAATGGGACTAAACAATTTAGGAGGGACTAAAGTTTAGCAGCCCAAACCAAACACCCCCTTAGTCCTGATTGCAAATGTAATCAATTGGATAGTAATTCTGTGCATCCAGCTTTGAAATAATTAGTAATTATCTGGCTGTGTGCTAACAATTCAATCATTTGCTTCCTTAATTTCATGAAGATGGTACTATTTCTTTGCAGCAGATGGTCATAGTTCTAAAGATTTTGAGTATGCACTGTAGGTGAACATATGTATAATCAGCACTTTTATAGTCTTATCTTTCCTCTGGTACTATCTATTTCGTGGTACTGCTAGAACTCAAATTTTGGTGTTCGAGCTCTCATTGCATAGTTACACGCCAATTTGAGCTTTGTTTAGCTATACACAGCTATATAACTTCAATTGTCCTATAGTCTTATAAGACATCTTTTCTCTTGCCTAATTTGTTTGCTTAAATCTCCATTTTTCAGATGACCTAGCATAGTATGGACGACTCCACTCTCTGCTAGCTATCCTGGCATCTGGATTGAGGTGTTTGGAAGGTAGGATCTCATCACTGCTAGATGCTACTTTTTTTGGGTTTCCTGCCTTGTGCCATGTGATTCCATTTATTTTTGCATTTTATTTTAGCAACAACAATTGGCTGCCATCACCAAGCGGCAAAAAGGCAGGCACTCCGGCTAGATGGCGGCAGGAGAGGCAAGCTCGGCGGAGCAGACATGCTCGTCTGCTCTCACTCATGAAACACAGGTACCTTTTTTCTTATAAGGCACACTAGTGGTTTGCTTCTTCCGCTCCGGCTAGAATCCAAATTCAATCGGATTTTCAGTCCTTGGACTCATCTATTTCTTTGCATTGGATTTCTAGTACTAAATTTGTCAAATTATTGGTACCTACATTTTTCTTGTCCATATGATGGTGCATGGATGCAGATTTATGCAAGCACATTCATTAATCACATTTTTTTTCTTAATTTACCTTGTTCCTTTTCTTTTACTTTGTTCCTTTTTTTATATCTATGCATCTCAGTGTCATTTGAATACATCTGGTCAACGAAAATCACAGGATGTTAAATTTTATATTTATGTTCATGTTGTATCTTTTAATGTAACAATAAAAATGAAAAACAGATTTACTTTAGTTAAATTCACCTCTCATAGGAATGCACAATGATTTTGAACTTGTAGTTTATCCATGTCTTATCCTAATTAAAACATTATTTAATCGTACTTATTAACATTATGGTATAATTTTCCTTGTAGTTCTCTTCCACGTTTTGCTAGCCATTTAAGTTTCTCTGCATAGATTGGTACATGTACACCCGTAATTGTCCCTCGTATCAGTTTTATTAGTACTTGGCCGTTTATAGTACCACATGTTAGGGCTTCTTTTCTCACAGATTTTTGCTTGAATTTTATCTGTAGCTCTTATGAAGATAGTTATGCAAGGCCAGTCATCTAACACTAGGTACCAGATAACTCTGGGTTAGTACTAGTAGAAGCGGTGTAGATACATGTTCCTCTTCAGCTGTGTGTCCCAGTCCTCGGGGAAGATGACGTTGCCCAGAACGAACTCATACGCTACCTTATGGTTCAGATGGAGAACATACCGAAGATAACCATACATGCGCCCGAAGTACTCGCACCTATTCTCCGTAGGTGCAAGCGACGGGTGGTAGAATAGCACCAGCGGGAGGAGGTCGGCGGCGTCGTTCGTCATATTATGCCAGTGCTTCACTTGAGGGGTAGGATTTGTGAGAGCAAGTCCCCGCGGATTTATTGCGATGTATGTGGTCATCTGATCTTGGACTCCTTAGGGTTTGACCTTGTATGTATTCGGAGGGTTCAAGGATGGCGTCATGATATGTTTCTTAGGGTGATGTTATTCCACGGGGTTCTGTGCGCACATGTTTCATAGCAGGTCATTCAAGCGCGAATAGTGCTAGAAACATGGCCACCTGTAGGCGTGGAATAATTACGGTTAACATATCACCCAGATCCATTTCGAACCCTCCAAATACATACAAGAAACCCCAAAGCGTGGGCACATGCATGACGCCATAAATAAATGGGTACTCCGAACTTGTGAAGGTCAGGCCCATACAGAGTCCAAGATCAGATGACTAAAGCTCCACGGTCTTCCGCGAGGACTTGCTCTTAGCCTTCCCTTGCCCCTCGAAGTGAAGCACCCGCCGCAAAGGATGACGAATAACGCCGCCGAACCTCCTCTTGTCGGTGTTTACCATCCGCCGCCGCATCCCACGGAGAATAGGTGCGGTACTTCTACCATGTATGGTTATCTTCGGTATGTTCTCCATCCGAACCATAAGGTAGCGTACTTCGGGCGCATGTATGGTTATCTTCGGTATGTTCTCCATCCGAACCATAAGGTAGCGTACGAGTTCGTTCTGGGCAACGTCATCTTCCCCGAGGACTGGGACGCACACCTGAAGAGCAACATGTATCTACACCGCTTCTACAGTTCCGCACCAGCTTCGGCCAAGTACTCTCCTCAGGGCAAGGGAACGCCTGCTGCCGGGAGTCAGGCCCAGAAGTCCGCCGCCAAAAAGGAGGCAACGAAGGAAGTCTTGCAGTACCACCGCAATCTCCCAGCGCACGGCCTGCGGGAGACGGCCCACGCTCACCGCCCAGACGATATGATATTTAATCGCACTGGCATGGCCAGGATGTTATACTCCGTACTCGATGGAGTTATGGTGTCCTTGGTCGAGTGCCTGGCCCGTGTTGGGCATTTTGGGTGTTTAGACCTCGAATCACTCTTCCCGGGCAGAGTTGGGAGCAAGAAGCCCTAGATCATGAAAGGGCATCGCAGTTGGTTGAGACGCATGTAACTAAGATAGGACTCTTATGTTATCTCCTTGTGTATATCTATATCAATCCGTAGAGTATTATTCATCTATAGCATTTGCCCGTGCGTTGCTACGGGAGTTTCAAAATTCTAAGTTGCCATTATATCATCGATGCCCAAAATCACCCATACATCTCAGTGATCATTCATAGAACAAACAGAAAATGTTAAACCGAGCATGAAGCAAATTTGAAAGACTACTTAAATATAGAACCTCCAACAAATCAAAAGAATTAATTATATGCTAGAATACCATTGTTTCACACCAAAGGTTAAAATACTACACAAATAAGTTACAGGAAAATGCTCAAGTACAACACCCTTCATCTGCTAGAAGTTCAGGTTATCACTCATGTTTGTGGCTGCCGAGTCCAGGCTTTAAAGTGGCGCAAGAATTCCTGTTGGAAAAAAAAGGGGATTGAAACAATGTAATTGGACCAAGACATATCTCCTATATCAGTTGTAGCCATGATTAAATCAATGATCAACGCATTTTTACCTTTTTAGTACTAATGCAATACCAACATGAGTGGGTGAGGGAGGTGTCAGGTTCTTTCAGATGCAAACTGTACTTGGTGGTAGTAAAGGGATGGTCGGTAGGAAACGAAGCAAGAGCTCACTCATTCTGGTGCCTCACAGGCAGGCACCTGCATTTTTAGGAGACGTGGGCACATAGATGACATACATTAGCTTGTCCTAAATGTCATATAATTACAAACAGAGGGACTTACACCTGAAGAACCCAATAGTTATTGATATTGCTTGCTGCTTATGTTCATACAATTACCAGATATAAATACCATTCAAAATTTATTTGCAATAGGCATACCGTGTCTAGCCATCTGTGTATTTAACTTACGAAAGTTTAATCAAAGATCCTTGAAATTTGTTGCTTCATACACGATAAAGTTTCTGCACAAAAAATGGTTATACTTGGTATAAGCCTGGATCAGGAGAAAGAGAATCTATACGCCTCCAGGTTATTGTCAGTTATGAGGTTAGCATCATCTTGAAACATAAGATGGTTTAGGTCAAAGCAAGAAAAAATCAAGAATACTCCTCTCCGTATGCAGAAACATTCAGCATGCTGATCTCAGTAGTAACGGTACTTCAACACAACAAATTATATGTTAAGACTAAGGACAGCAATTTTCATATTTAGATTCCAGAGTTTTTCACTAAAAATATTTAGAGATCAGATAAAAGGTTATTAGTTGACAGGCACAGTAAGAAACAAGCAGCTCGATACCAGCAGAAAAATTGCCCTCACAGCAATTTCTTACACTTGCAGCCTGTCTTGGATGAAAGGAAACTTGCATCAATTTCTTCCGCTTGCAAACTACCTCACAGGAAACCAGAGTACTAAGTTTCATACAAGTTAAGCCTTTCAAGAGAGTAAGCAGAGGACACCTAAACTTTCTAGGCTATAGTTCAACCAAAGAAGGGGATTGATAAATATGAACTTGCATATAGATATTACCTTGACACTTGACACGTTGTCCTGAAGGTTTAAGCATCTCTGTCCATTGATGTATTGACATCATATGCTTTATTCTTTTCTTAATGTCTAATGAATGATTTTTCTTAGGATCCCCATCACCAACAGAATTCTGAAGTCAACAGGTCAACCAAGCTACATCAGAAAACAGTTAGTGGAGTGCACATCGTTATTTTTGGAAAAGTTCATGCTGAAACACACATTTGATTAACTGCTACATGACACTATGAAAGGGTAAAAAAGTATTAAACATGCCATAATTTTCAAATGACAAAAAACACAGGTCCATTGCACTTCCAAATATTTCTGGGAAACTAATTTTACGCTTAGACCTTAGGTATGTAGGAGGGGTACATATAAACGTAAAAATCTGACAATTCAAGCCTGAAGCCTAGATATTTTTACCAGACACGCAGGAGAGATACATATCTTTATATTAGGCTTGATATGAGCAGTGTTAATTCTATCAGCATCTCAGCAATATGTCGCCAAGTTTCGGTGTTATTGGTGAGGTCCTATAAACTATACATACCAATATATCAGACATATATTTAAAATATTTTATGTCAGACTTTTTTTTTTGCACATTTTCAGTGAAATTTCATCCATAAATTTGAATTTAACGGCTGATAAAATACCAAATATCAGATATAATGAGACTTATTGGATCTATCAGCTGGCAACCATGTTTATGCATAGATCGAAGGACATGTTCTAATACACAATAACTGAACTACTGAAGCCCTGGTATACCTGCAGAATCATTGCTACTGTGACAGACTCAGTCTAGCTGAACCATGATTGGAGATAATACTGTCGCCGGGAATATTACATATGCTAGACATAGCATTAAAGCAGTAGAATGGAGATATACAGAACATGATGAAATGAACTTTGGATTAGACAATACAACATCAAAGATCTCCATGCAGGAACAAAATGAAATGAAGGTTATGATTCTTACTTCTTTTAGTAGGGCAGACTCAAAATCAGAATCATCAAGCTTAACTTTATAGCTGACTTTGTCTGGAGTAGTACCGCAGAAATCATCCATGAATCCATGATGGCATTTTTCTTGCCTTGTGTACGGGAACAAGCCGGCAGCCCTGGAACTGGCCCTGCTTCTGCACCACTGTGTACTACGCCGAAATGAAGGTTTTCTGAGAAAGTAGCCAACAATTTTACAGATTAAAATAGTATCTGTGACGTCTAGTAGAAATGATTGAGACGTACTGCAGGATCATGGTTCAGCTAGACTCTTTTACAGTAGAATGTAGAAATCAACCAAATAAAAATCGATGCCCAGCCAGCAGGCGATGTGTAGTGGCGTACCAGGTGGAGGATGGACCAGGTTCACGAGCCTGTGTTGCTCGTCGCCGTGGTAGCCACTCACCGTCGCGACTACGGACCCCATCCCGTGGAAATCAAAGGGAGAGTGAGAGAAGGGCAGAGATGCCGAGTGAGAGGAGCCAGATTCAGTAACTTTACAGAGCAAAGTTACAACCTAATTTTCCCTCAATCTCCACCCTCCGCTTACCATCTGACGGCAACAGTGGTTTTCAAACCAGCACTTACCTTTTCACCAGCCCACGCCAACAAACGAGGAAGGCCAACATTTCGAAGAAATTTACTTGATGGCAAAACATGAGCAACAACTTCAGCAGGAGTCTTTGGTTGTTACCCTTCTGGTGTAGGCTGAGCCATCATGGTATCCATTTGGTCCTAACACGATAAGAAAAATAGTTTGCATTATAATTAGTATACAAATGTGGAAAAAAATCAAGCAATAACTGACTGAATAGAAAAACATACTACATTTGATGACAAAACAAGCTAGAACCAGTACGGATAATTTTGTTGTTGCCACTTAAAAGTAGTGAATTCAGATTTCAGACTATGAAGCTAAAAAGAGTTGTTTGTTTCACTCCAGGACATTGCTTCAATGGCACATTGAAACTACTAGAAACCTGTGGACCTGCTGCTAGCTGCTAGCTGCTAGCTGCTACAAACCTGCAGACCTGCTGCTTCAAGGACACTACTAAAAGTATGCAAAGTTTTGTAGGTTGCAGACCTGCTGCTGCTATAAACCTGTGGCCACTTCAATTACAGTAAATAAATTGTACTCTGGTCCTTCAAATAATTAAACTCAGTTGCTACCCCCAACTTCCCAATTTCAGTTTTGGCAAATTAGTCTTGGCATAGATGAGTAACAGTTTTGGCACACATGGAACAATTTTAGTTCACATTTTCCAGCTGGACTTGTTTATCATGAATGTCAAAGGAACTTTCACTAACATTTTTGGAATAGAAATATTACCAGCCGTAGAAAAATATTAAATGAACTTTTGCAAACTTGCAGCACTACAAGCAGGAATATGCTAGGCTAAGGCAACAGATCATTAACTTACAGGACTCCAGCAGGTTCAGTTTTTATATGAAGTCCCAATGATAGAAACCACAGTAAGTTTGTATGGCTATTAATTTATGAATTCTAAGTAATTTGATTGCAGATACCTCATCAAGTACAGCATCTCCAGTTTCCTCCATATCTTCAGGTTCATACAGAGGATCAGATTCTTCTCGAGCCCTGCCCTTGCTCTTTGTAGTTGAACTGTTGACAATTGAAGCCAATGTGGGGATCCCAAGGCTACGCAATACTTGATTGTTCCTCATTATCGTTTGAGCCCTTTCTCTTTCAATATCTGTTATCTCCTCTGTAGGTGCATAGAAGAGACCATAAGCTTGTATAGTTGAGGTCAAACAGCAGAAGCAAGGCAAATGAATTGAAAGCATAGGCCCAATGGATAAATGTATGCTTAGGCTATTGAATGAAAGATTAAAAAGTGATCCCAAAATTTATCCAATCCTAAATTAGGACAATATTAACATGAGATCTATCTGTTAGATTCAGAATACAAGCCACATAAGTGATATCTGAAAATATGATACAGACCAAGATGCACAAACAAGGAATTAGCTAGAAATAGAACAAACTGTGATTAAGCACCAGGAACAGAAATATGATTTTTAATCATTGCAAAAATAGACGAATCAGCAGATACTCATTACTTCCATACACTGCCACAAAACACAGTAATTCTAGGAACAGAAGTAGAGCAATCTATGACATGCCTGTATGCAGATCTAAATAAACACAACGATCTCACATGAAGACATCTCGGCACAGGTCCCTTCACGGCCTTTCTACACGCTGACCAAACTGCTAACAGTAACTCAAAAATTCCAGATTTCAGGAGTTTACCTGTTGGTTGCTGCCTGCTTGCTCCCACCTTCCGACCAGGAGCCATGGTGCTCCCACCTTTCGAAGTGGCGCGTGGAGTGGGGGGAGGGGGATCGCGGCTTCTTGCGGGGGAGCGAGGGAGCTCGCAGCTCCTGACGACGATGCCTGCTGCGTGAGTCGGCGTGAGGAGGGCGTGAGGAGCCAGGGCCCGCGGGAGCGACGCCTGGTAGTCGCCGTCGGCCGGAGTCGGCGTCCTGGGAGTCGGCGCCTGCTGCGTCGGGTGGGGCGGAGTGAGGGGCGGCGATTTGGAATTGGGAGAAATAGCAAGCGTGCGGCGTCGGCGGAAGAGAAAAAGATGGCGGCAGGTGAAAATTTTGGGGATAGTTTTCATCGGGAGAAGAAGCTGAGTGTGGTGGCGGCGGATGATTTTTTTTTTTTTTTTTTTTTGCGCCTGGTGTCGGCGGGAGAAGGGAGAGTGGTGGGCTGGTGGCGGTCGATGGAGGGCAGAAATCTTATTAGTGCTGAAGTGCGTGTTCCAAACAAGAAGGCGTATCCAGGAGGGGAGTGACCTGCCTGGCCACACCTGCGGATTAGATAGGACAGGAGGCAGGGAGCAGAGAGAAGAACACCTCACCGCTGCACTGCTCCTTCGCGGCGCTGCTTATCTCCCGCTCCCGGCTCCCGGCTCCCCTCCTCCCCCGCGCCGCGATGAACACAGCCATGGCCACCACTTCCTTATCCCTCCAAGGCCGCCCTTCCCATGCCCCCACCAGGAAGCTCTCCTCCCCGTTCCTCGGCGCCCCCGCGTCCTTCCTCCGGCCGCTGGCGCCCGTGCCCGCCGCCGGCCCCTCCTCGCGGCGGACGCTCGCCGTCAGGGCCATGGCGCCTCCCAAGCCGGGAGGCAAGGCCAAGAAAGGTCCGTGCACCCTCTCTAGGCCGGCGTCGTCAGCATTCCTGCCGCATGAGGGATGACGTTCTTGCGCCTAACCCCTTTGTTGTCCTGCAGTGGTAGGCCTTATAAAGCTGGCCCTCGAAGCCGGCAAGGCGACGCCGGCGCCGCCCGTCGGCCCGGCGCTTGGTGCCAAGGGTGTCAACATCATGGCGTTCTGCAAGGAGTACAACGCCAAGACGGCCGACAAGCCTGGCTACATCATCCCCGTCGAGATCACCGTGTTTGATGTGAGTGAGACTAACGCTGTCCGTCCTACTTTGGGCGCTTGTCTGAGAATCGATTGCTAATGTGGAGTTATGGTTCTCGTAATACTGGTTCATTTGCTTCGCATTTTGCAGGATAAGAGCTTTACCTTCGTCTTGAAGACCCCTCCGGCTTCAGTCCTGCTACTCAAGGCTGCAGGTGCACACCTTGTACTTTAGCCTGAATCTATTCTTCAGAGTTTTCTGGTGCATTCATCAAATTGCCCAAATTTTGTAGCCAGGTTTTGCCATGCCAATGATTTGGCAAGCCAAAGTTAGGTAAAAAATTTGCCATAGATTTGACAAGCTAAATGTGAGAAGTTGGCACGTTTTGGTAGCCAACTAAATAATAGCCAAAATCATGGCTAGTCAAATCTTTGGTTTGGCATATTTTGGAAGCTAACCAATCATGCCCTATAAGACTATAAAAGCAATACGACATGAAGGAAAAGGAATGGTATTTATGGTTTGTGTAAGTGTACCACATTGGATTAGGCAATTAGCGATCCGGTGTGTAACTCTTTTAGATATTATTAAGTTCAGTCAGTTCCTGATCCCTCAAAAATAAAAGTTTAGACATTCCACATTGTTTTTTTTTCACATGTTTGTATAACAGTGAATGCAACTGCAATTCAATTTAGTTTGAGCAGTCGACAGTTGTTCAATGATTCAGTGTTGGGTGTTGGTAACAGTAACTTGGTATTTTTTATTTGCTGTCTTTGAACTCTAGCTTTCCATTTCCAATTCCCATGAACTCATGCAACAATTCATTGTTTTGGATGTTCAGCCTAGATAAATAAGATTCTTCTAGAAAGAGGAGTTTTATTCCGTTCTAAGTACATTCACTCACAAGTCACTAGACATAAATACATAATATATATGTTTGCATGTTAATTAAGGTATAGCCATGAACTATGGGCTGCAGAGAATGAATGTCGCAGCATCAGTACCTGCAAATGCATATGCTGGTGTCAGACAGCCAGCTTTCTATGTTAGAGCATATGTTCTCTTTTCCATTTGGTCCCTTATATGTTCTCGTGATAACGAATCCTCATTCTTAGGACAGAAAATGGTTTGAAAGAGCCACAATGGTTCCTTACATTATTATTGTCTGAATCTTGGTTCTTATAGGTGTCGAAAAAGGTTCGAAAGAGCCACAGCGAGCGAAGGTGGGAAAAGTAACAGCGGATCAAGTGCGTGCAATAGCTCAAGAGAAGTTACCGGACTTGAACTGCAAGAGCATCGACTCTGCTATGAGGATCATCGCTGGCACCGCCGCTAACATGGGCATCGATATCGATCCTCCAATCCTTGTGAAGAAGGAAAAGGTCCTCTTATAGTATGTTTTGCTGGCACACGCAGATCATCCCACCAATGGCCATTTGTAGATTATGCTTTCCTTTTTTGCTCATCAATTCGCTGTGCCTACTTGAAGTTTTCCTCTAGTTCCAATGACCTTGTTCCACAGCCTTATCATCTGGTGTAGAGCTTCAACTTTTCCTTGCAAAAATCATTGTAAAGGGGGTATCCCAAGCCTAGGGCCGTGGCCGTGGCCATGCACCAAAATTATCGGGGGGGGCCTTCACGGGCCTACGCTGCCCACCAAGCCTGCCTCCTCTTGGAGTGAGAGAATCCATCGAGTAATGAAGATGTTAACTTATAGTACAAGCAAGAGAACTCTTAAAAAAAAGAAATCTACTACTCTATCATTGACAAATATCTTTTAGTCTATAGCCCTACCTAGGGGGACTCACTCGCTAGAAGGCAAAAGCACGTCTCTCAAAAAAATATCTACCCACTTGGTCGCCCGTTGCACACTTCACGGCCTCGTGTGACCGGTCCGTCCGCTGCACTTAGCATTTGCCGCCGTAGCCATCTCCCTGCACGTGCTCTCCCCCTTTGTTGTTCACTTCGATCCCTGCCCGTCGCGTATGCCCATTCGTGCCTCTCGCTCCTTGCTCCTGCAGTCCCAACCGCTGCGCGCCCACCCGTGCTGCTCGCACCCGCGTCGTTGGGCGCGTCGCTTGCCTCTGCTTGTGCTCGAGGTGCCATTGCGCGCCTTAGGTCGATCCTCGACCTTGCGAAGGGCACCCATGAGCGTGACCTGTGCTGGTGGTGCTCGCACCTCGAGGCTGGAATCAATCGGCCCTAACCTCCCCTCCCATATGTTGCAATGTATGTTTCAAGTGTTTTAGATGTTTCAGATGTATGTTGTAGGTGTTTCGTATGGATGTTGCAAAAGTAGATCGGGATGCTGCATATGTTGCAAGTGTTTTAGAGGCATGTTGCAAGTGTTTCAGAGGCATGTTGCAAGCGTATGTTCAAAATGTTTCATCTGTTTCAGACGTATGTTGTAAGCGTTTTTATCTGAATATTGCACATGTTTCACACCTATGTTGCAAGAGTATGTTCGAAATGTTTCAACTGTTTTAGTCTTATGTTGCAATAAGTGTTTTCATGTTGCAATTTGTAAGTGTTTTATCTGGATGTTGCATATGTTTCACACACATGTTGCAATTGTATGTTCCAAATGTTTCATATTTCAAAGGTAGAGTCATGGGGGCACGGCCTGGACGACGGGGGATGGGGGCGCGGCGAGCCATGGGCCGGCGGTCATGGCGCACAGGGCACCTAGGATCCTACGGACGGAGCGTGCCCTCATGTCGGCTCTCGCATCCCGCCCGCCTAGAGATAGAGGAGGGGTCAGGGGGAAGGAGCGGCGGGCGCACGGGCGTCCAGACTCGCAATCGCAGACAGAGAGGAGGGGCCCAAGGGGAAAGGAGCGGCAGACATGGCCTTTTCCGCGGGCGCACGTAACGAAGGAGGCACGAGCGTTCCAACACACGCTTTTGCCCAGAAGTTCGGGCACTAGTATCTAGATCCTCTATGCATATCATGTCAGAAATGGGCCCTTGGCCTTGGGCCGTGGCCTTTTGCGCCATTACAATTGCGTATCACAATTGGTCCGAAGAGAGCAGGGTGTTACATTTTGAGAATACGTCAAGACTAAGGGCGCCCACAAGCCACAAGGCCACAATTGCAGTAACGACATATAACTATGGTGTCATTTTTGTATAACTTTTTTTTGAAACAAGTTTGCGCTTTATTATATCTGGGGAGGAACATTTACATCATGAGACACAAGACTTTGTACAAACTCTGGGAGGGGATCAATACAAACTCTGGGAGTGTTGTCCAAATTTACAAGTGTCATTAATAATTACCAACCACGCATTTTTGGCATTATGTTAGGGATGACAACCTAGTAAAGAGTGATGTTAAGAAATATCAACAAGCATTTCTTACGTCGTTGTCGGGGAGGGGCACATGGCTAAGAGAATTGACCAAATAGATACTTATTGATAAAATCATAACCTCTGCTTTAGCAGGTTTACCCTTGTTTGTGTTTGTTCATATCTTATACAGGGTATTGCAGACTTGGTTGTGATTCACCAACAATTTTCAATTAGAATCAACCTAATCAAGAGGAAGCTCAACACCAGTTCCTGAAGCCATGGCTGATAAGACTCTGCGTGAATTCTCTACTCCAAGCACTGAGAACATCCGCACTGGACCAACACTCAAAACCAACAACCTTGAGTTTGAGCTCAAGCCAAGCCTCATCAACATGGTGCAAGCTACCCCATTCAGCGGAAAGGCACATGAAGATACTAGTGCCCACCTTCAGAATTTTCTGGAGATTAACAGCACAGTTGTCATCAAGGACGTTGCTCAAGACATCATACAACTCCGCCTGTTTTCATTCTCACTAGTGGGAAGAGCGAAGCAGTGGTTCTACATCAACAAAGTATCACATCAATACATGGGCAAAGTGTTCAAAGGCCTTTCTAGAAAAGTTCTTCCTTGTAGACA